TACCCTCCCTCCATCCCTTCCTTCCTTCCTTCCTCGATCCCTCCATCCCTTCCTTCCTTCCTTCCTCGATCATTGATAAAAAAAAAAGTTTAACTATTTTCATTTCTTTACTTTTTTCCTTCTTTTTTATTTATTTATAGATAAGACGGTGGTTATAAGAGACTAGTTTTCCTGTAAATGATGTTCACTGTTTTATTGATTTTATTTTTAATTTCTACGTTTTCATATGAAAATCTTTGTATTACACTGATTTATATCAGAGATTATCAATTTTTCAGGGAAACGTCGATGATCAGGATTTTCCAGAGAAGCGGCAAGTTTTTGTAGAACGCGGGAGTGTTTTCGAGTACAACCAATCACAGCTCTCCGCTTAGTTTTGGTGACATGACAAGCTGAATGCAACGTTTTTATTGGTTGTTTTATCATTTCATGATCCTAGGCTTTCATTTCAGTGCCGTTTAAAACATGTGTAGAATCTGCAACAAAAATATGCAAAAGTTGTTTATAATTTCGAAAACAGGTGTTATCTAATTTTGAGGTTGTGATATTATTTTATAAGCTTTTAAACTTTGAGCTTAGTAGTCTTCATTTACTAAGTATTTGCCATACATATTTCAAACTGTACAAAACAGAGTCTCATACAGGTTCCAAGTGGCATGTAGATACCCTGCACCCTGAGGTCTGGGGTTCCATGTCGGGTCCAATTTCAGATCTTCTTATTATCATTATTATATTATACAAAATTTATAATTAACAAGCTGAAAGACCCATAAAAAAAATCAGCCCATATTCGGTTCAGCCGTTTGGCCGGCTATAGGGAAAATATATACAAATGTCTTGTTTTATTATATAGAGATAACATTTATTTTGAAAATTTTATTTGGTTTGTCGGGATAGAATCTCACTTTTTTATATTATTTTTCTCTTATGTATTTGCAATCGATTCTAATCTATTGTAAGGTTTAAGTGGGTAAAAATGTATTTCTGAATCTGTCTAATTGAAATGATTTATGCATTTTTGCACACTTACAGATCTAAAAAAAAGAGTTTTTACATTGATATGATATTAAAAAGTATATTTTCAGAGGTCCAAAATGGGCCGATCTGAAGTCCCTTGTCGAGGGGTTAAACTTCTTCTTATCCTGACGTGCTTATGGTGAGAACCCCTCCATTTTGATTTTTGAAAATAATTCCCTCTTTCCTCTTTTTGTTTATGTTTATGTTAGGATTATTTTCAGGACTCCTGGCGGAGTATATAATTTCCGATTGTTGTTATGATATTCATATGGTTGCATATATCACATTAATATACAGAGTATATTATATTAAATAATTACGAATATCCAGTGAATCAAGATTAAAAATAAGGGACATTTATTTCTTTTTTTTGGTAGAGTTTTTATTTTTTCTCTTCCTTGAAATTTTTTCATTTTTAAATTTTTCGACATGTTTTAAAAAAAAATTTCTTAGATTATTTTTTTTCTTATTTGGCCTTTCTGTTTTCTTTTAAAGTAATCTTTTCTGGCTCTTTTTGTCCAAACAAAATAAACTAGATTAGACATTTTTTACATATTTATCATATCTGGATTTAAAAGTACTTAACGTTGGTGCGGTTTTATATCACAGGGTAAATCAGTCTATGGAGAAACAACTGACTCTTTGTTGTGGTTCACATAAATTAAAATCTAAATATTAATTTAAACTGCCATATTTGCATTTTTCACCATATTTGTTGAAAATATTCGAGCACATGAATCTTTTTTTCAGTGTGCAGTCTTCATTTGCTCAAAAAAAGAAAAAACCAATTACAACTTTGCTGAACGCAAAATGGAACAACACGCCAATGCTTTTAGAGGTAAATTCTAAATTATATAAAAACTATTAAAAATTTGTTTTTTAATCGCAAATATTTGTATTTAAGGCTGCCGAGTTTCTGGCGAGTGAGAGTAAAGATTACTTTTGGAGATTCATTTCTGATGTTGGAGAGGTAGGGCTGAGGCCATTTTTATTTAAGGGACTGCGTAAGCGTAATTTCAAGTGAACCTACATGCAGAGATGATAATGACCGATTTACAACGGTACCCTTTAAAGCTTTGTCTGATGAGGTATCAGTTAGATATTCCGTGTTTTGTTTCTTTAAACAATTTATTTGCAAATGCGTTTTCTCTGCGAAAGTAACTGACGCATTTCATGCTTATAAGAAACAATGGTGAAAATTCACAGAAAGAAACACTTTTTGAGTCAAGAAAACGATGGTATCTTCCACATTTGCGTATTGATAGAAAAAAATATGAAATATCAAATTGCATTTAGAAGGACATAGTGCCGCTTTTTAAACCTCTCATTTTCTTAATCATGGAGAAGAAGGGAGGGGAGGGGGGGGGGAGTTATAAATCAATGCTTTCAATCTGATTCTTAGATAATATTAACAAGATTGTTAAAAAGAATTATTGCTGTTTTTCTCTAGGTTATTTTTATGTTCTCAATAAAGCCAATTTTCTAATTCACATGAAAAAGGAGGATTTTCATTTAAGAGTTCTAGAAATGTATAATATTGAAGGAGAGAGGGGTGGCCATCAGCCCAGCAATATCCTTTCCAAGAGCAGCAAAAGACTGCTCGAAAAAAACAAACTTTTATTGAAAATTGACTTAAAAAAGAAGAAATTTCAAAAATGAAAACTTGGGGGAACAGGTTTCATACTCCTCTTAGCTTGAAAATAAAAATCATGTTTTAAAACTCTTTTTTAGTGTAAAACTTTGTCTTCTTAAGAAATACTTTAGATGGAATGATCGCAATGATAAATAGGTGATTTGTAAATTCTTGTATATAATTGTATTTTGCAACTTCTTATTTATCATTCATTATGATACACCATTCAACAAAAATGTGTAGAGAAAGTATTCAATTATGATATTTATAATTCTTTTATGATATATAAAATACTTTCCACACATTTTTGTATGAATGGTGTACCACTACAATAATGAATGATAAATAAGAAGTTAGCAAAATACATTTATATGCAAGATCATGTTTTACACAAAAAAGAGTTTTAAAACATTTTTTTTATTTTTAAGCTAAGAGGAGTACCTGGGTTCGAACAGGATACTGATGGGCTCATGGCTCCCCCATTACCCTCATTGAAAACTACATAATTTCTAGTGATCCTCCCATTTCAAAAGCAACGTGCCCGCTTTCAATGAATGTCATTGAATCCATTTTTGTTCTTTCTTGTAAAGAGACACATTCTGTCAATTTTCTTCCTTGTTTCTGATGCATAATTCCGCAGGCCACTTTTTCAGAGAAATCGTGATTTGAAAATTTTCATTACGATGTCTCGAGCAATTTTGCCGATAAGTTAAAGGATATTTTTTCATTGTGAATCTGTTAAAAATGGTCAATGGAAATTAAGACAACAACCCCTATATGGTTTAAGTTAGTTAATCTCACAAGAGCTTAAAAATAAGAGATGATTCATGAATGGATTTCTTTATTTTCTGTTTATTGCATACTGCATAGTTAAAAGGGACTGTCAGCGTAGCTTTATGCTTGGCTAGATGACAGTCTCCAATTTGTTGAAACGATACTTTTTAAACATTTAAATGATGAAAGCATAGAGGCCAGAGAACTCTGTGTGTTTTAAAAGTTTCTAATTTAAATATTTATTATCTGCAAACCCTGCAGTGTTCAACATTTACATGCGTTTCTTTAGGTCAATAAGGACAAGTCCGACATCCTTGATCAGTCAAAGGTGGAAAGGGTACTGCTGTGAATCGTAAAAGTCAATTTTCGTGTTACTGGAAATTACGCGCATAGTCCTGTTCAAGTAGTAAAACATTAATTCGAAGAATTGTTATAAAATTTGTAAAAAAAACAAAAACAAATTTTCTCTGAATTCTTTGTTTTATTAATTGAATCCCTTTAAACAATCCTTGGATGAGTATACCTTTAAACAATCCTTGGATGAATATACCTTAAAACAATCCTTTGATGAGTATGCCTTTAAACAGTCCTTGGATGAGTATACCTTTAAACAATCCTTGGATGAGTATACCTTAAAACAATCCTTTGATGAGTATACCTTTAAACAATCCTTGGATGAGTATACCTTTAAACAATCCTTGGATAAGTATACCTTAAAACAATCCTTTGATGAGTATACCTTTAAACAGTCCTTGGATGAGTATACCTTTAAACAATCCTTGGATTAGTATACCTTTAAACAATCCTTGGATGAGTATACCTTTAAAAAATCCTTGGATGACTGCAGGTAGATGAGAGGAGCTGGAGGATGAAAACTGACGAAGAGGTTCATCAGCTGATTCTAGAGTTGACCGCCAGATACTTGACCCCGGCACAGCTGGATATACTCAAGTAAGCAGGGGGGGGGGGGATATATATTTAGAAGTATACAAAATTTAGAAATTTAAAGTGGGAGGGGAAAAGGGGTTATTATTTATAATGTTTAAAAATCATTGTTTTTCCTTTCACATTTGATATTTTCAACCAAAATTAATTTTCCACCTTTTGGTGATTGATCTCAAAAAACGTTAAAAAGCAAACTGGGGAAAATAGTTGTGAAGGGGGGAAGGCAAAATATGCATTGCACTGAAATTAAGGAATATATCAAATTGGCGAGAAAATCTTGGAATTTGGTTTAAAGCAGAAATAAGAAGATATTTGGGAAAAAAATGTTTTAAATAAAAAATTTGAATCAATTTAACTTCTTTTAAAGTAGTTTATTTTACTTTTAGGGATAAACTGATTTCATAACTAAAAAGGTGCAACTATTTCTACATATCGACTCATTTTACAATTATATGGTTTAGGTTCTCTCTCTCTTTACGCACTGAATCGCCTAAGCTTGAAATGCACCGTCATCTATCGAAGGATCGAGGAGTTAGCGAACTCGCATGCCCCATCGTCTTCGATATAAACCATAAGCTGACCTGTGCTCCACCCCCTAGCTTTGATGAGCTGAAGAGCCCGGTGGTGTACACCGTAGACCATGTGTACCCGGGCATTAATATAGAAACCGCGCCAACTGTGATCATGTACGCGGAGCTGGGTACCGCCGCCTGTACCACGGCGCATAATGATATGCTTGCGCGCGCAGAACGCGGAGAGGTTAAGTATGTTTTCCGACATCGGGTCCCAGAGGGGGAGGGAAAGGTTCGTCTCTCCGGTTACGGGGTTGAGTTGCAGGTTAAATCTACCGAATACAAGGCCCAGGACGACACTAAGCTGGAAGGAGAGGATGGAAGTAATGAGGATGATGAAGCAGGGGATGAGGAAATAGAAGGTTAGAAATAATACGTAGAGTATTAACTTAAAGAAACTTTATACTGCATGGTTTCAAGCAAAGACAGTATTATGTAAAGAACTAAAGATTATGCCTCAGCTTTTTATACGCAGAACCATACGCCTTAATTGGTCTTATAAAGATGTCACAAAATGTCACCTTTTCTATAAATAAAGGTTTTCTATATATCATTTATTTATCAGAATTTAACCTTTGAAGACACTTACAATAAAATATATAATGCAAGTTGATATTTTTAATGGGAAATGTTATGACATAAACTCCAAAATTATGTTACCCGTCTTAATTTTTAAATATGTTGCTAGTTAGTAGTTACTAATAAAATTCATTTAAGAGGCCTATTTAAAGTGTATCCCAATAATAACAATAACCTAGGATTTGTATTCTCCACTCTAAAAGACAAGCATCCAGAGAAACTAGATAAACTTACTGAACTAAAACAACATCTGCTAGACAACAACAACGACATGGCACCCATGAAGGTAATTGGATTAATTTTGATTTGATTTTGATTTAATTTGACTTAATTTTGATTTATTTTGTTTAATTTTTAAATATTTTGTTTAACTTTCTCTCACATTTGTTTCATTTTTATAAAAAATTTTTTTCATTTTGTCAAGTTTATTTAATATTTCTTCAAATTGATAAATTTTGATTTATTTTGTGTCACTTTGTCTCACTTTGATTCATTTTGATACATTTTGATTCATTTTGATGCATTTTGATTCATTTTGATGCATTTTGATTCGATTTGATGCATTTTGATTCGATTTGATACATTTTGTGTTATTTGATTCGTTTTGGTTCATTATGATCCATTTTGATTTATTTAATTTCTTCAAAATTTATTAAATTCATTTTTATTATTTTGTTTTAATAATGTTAATTATGAGTCATCCAGGATTTTTTAGGCGATTAAAATCGTGACAAGATTTATAAGTTTGGCACTCTTCAATTGCTTATTTGATCCAGCATAGTGAGATTAGCGACCGAACAAATTTAACACTGGCATTATTGAACTCGACACCGGATTTTTAACTGCTACTAAAATCGTTATTTCTAGGTTTGGCAGCTGCAGGATCTGAGCCTACAGGCAGCGCAGCGGATAATGAACAGTGACGCGGCGGAACGGCTGGCAGTTATGGCGGATTTAGCCGCCAACTTTCCAACACATGCCAAGTAAAAACAAAGAAGGAATTTTCAATACAATTGTCGAAAAGAGAATTTCTAAAAAGGGCTGTAATCGTAATTTTAAGTGAAAATCCATGCAAAGATAGCAATGCCCGATTTACAACGGTACCCTTGAAACCTACATCTGATCGAAGATGTAGAAAAGTGTTTATTTCTGTGAATTTTTCCATTGCTTCTTATAAACATTAAAGGTGCATGTCACTTATGCAGAAAAACTGCAAATAAAATTAAACAGTTTAGAGAAACAAAATCATGCATAATTAATTAATACTTGATCAGACAAAGCTTTTAAAGGTATCGTTGTGAATCGGTCATCGCCATATTTGTATGGAAGCTCACATAAAATTAAGCTAATGGATTTATTTAATTTTTTAAATGGTTTGTTAATAGTTTTTTATCTAAGTAATGACCAGAGGCGCAACTAGCACTTTTTGGTAGGGGTGGGCAAAATATTATTTTGTAATGGTCGGGGGGGGGGGGGGAAAAGGGGCCCTCCTTTAGAAATAAATTTCAAAATAAAAGTGCCTTTTTAAGGAAATTTTCAGTTGTTGCATGCAGATTTGGCAGTGTTTAATTCAAATCTTTTTTTTCTTGTGTTTTTTAAAAATTTATACTTTCAACAACTGTAAAATTAACGATATGAGTTAATCAATTCTTTATATGTGTGCGCGGAGCGCAAACGAAAATTTGTTAAGTACATTGTTTAATTTCAGATATAATTACAAGAAATAATTTTTTATATACTCTGAAAAAACAACATCAAAATATGTATATAATCTTAATCATCTACATTGAAAAACGACAGATAATGTTACTTTTTCTCCTGAAGTTTATTTATGATCATTCTAACCAACATTCAAAATCTTTTTTCATTTTCGATTTTATAGAAGTTTTTTCAAAAAAATCAGGTTACTGTTATCAAATATGATAATCAGTTAGAAGTTTGCCAGGTTCAGTTTCAGAATGTTCTCTAGATTTGGAACTGGGTTTTTGCCACAAACTTAAATATTCTAATCCCTAAATCTTTGCACCGAGTGGTGTAAACCTTTGATATTTCAAACTTAGAATATTTTACCAAAATAATTCAAAGTTTGAATACAGTTCGTAACTTTTTTACATTAAATGTTTACAATAGCCTTTAGCCTTGAGAATCTTTTGGTTTTATTATTCCTGATTCCTGGGATAATGATATTCACCAATCTTTCTTTTCTTTCTGCAGTGACCCCTCGTTGCGCCTCTGGATGAGTCATGAATTCATAAGTCATTACTAATGACTCATGAATTATAGCGCACGAATGGAATTAACATCCATCTTTTAAAATGATTTGAAGAGGTTTAGAGAAAAAACAACTCACATAAATAAATTGAGATGTAAAAAATTAATATTGACTTAAAAAATGGTGGACAGGTAGAAATCCTTATTATATAGATGTTATTGTTTAGGTCTCTGACTAGAACGAGTGTGGGCAAGGATCTGAAAAAGGCAGGATACATATTTCAAAAATTATAAATTTTGTCGTCCTCTGTTTTGGAATTTTTATTTTTTATTTTCACATAATTTTTAACTGGGTCTAATTTCTATTGTCAACTACTCTTAGTGTAGGTTAGTTGTTTTTTTGGTGTTTTTTTTTGGGGGGGGGGCTTGGTGGTGATCAAATGTTTTTTTGCACAAAACAATTTCTCCATAAAACTTATCTCATGTACTTATCTATTGGGGCTTGTATTAATAAAAAGATTCCAAGTGACCATTTGAAAAAGAAGGCCTTTCCCGATTCACAACATTAGGCTTTATTCCTATGCTAGGCCAAATATTATTGGATGCTATGTGAAATATAATGATTTAGGAAACCAAGAAGAATTCTGAACAGTTCTACTCCCATCTCAGTTTAACCAGCAGTGACGCAGCTCTGTTTATAAACGGGATGCAATACGATATGGATTATACTGATATCTTCACCATATTGGACACAGTAAGTTTTTCAACGTCTTTTTAACGACACTCTTGCCCCCCCCCCCCATTGGAGAAGTGGGAGGCGTGTTTAGTTTTGGGTCAAATTTTATTTAAAATATACTAGCGTGCAATGAGTAGAAAATATAAGCCATTTTTTCATGGATGTACACTGTACCCTGTGTTCAGTACTGTACCCTGTGTACAGTACTGTACCCTGTGTACAGTACTGTACCGTACAGTCAGATTGCAAAATTTTCCGGTCGGTAGTATGTAAAAATGAAACTTGATATGCGATTTGAAATGGCATTTATGCATGGGTTTTACCAAAAACGACTAAAATGGGTTTATTTCCACAAAAATGATATATTTTCCGCCAGATTTGGCCTAATATCCGTGTCTCAAATTAAAGGTTTTAATTTAGAAGCTGGACACCATTTTTTGACCCTAGATGTTTTAATGGATCACCCAAAACCAAGCGTATAGGTGTAGTACAATGATCTGCAGGACTTTGACCTAATAAATAGTGGCTCCCTACGTAGCATTAAGTCGAACCACGATGAGTGCGGTATTATCTTAATGAGTGGTTTTAAGACACCCAGTAACCTATGTTTAGGTTCGACAAGAGGAACGTGTGCTAAGCGGCCTTGGCAGGCTGGGCTTGACCCCCAAGCAGACGAGTAGTCTTATAACCCTTGATCTTGGATCCAAGCAGCAAACCTATGGAGTTGACATCAGGTTTTTAATTATATATAATACTATCATGGCAACCAAGCTTTACCCGAAAATATATATAAGTCGACCAACTCAACTCAGAATTTGAGACCCAATCAAAATTTGTGTCAAATCGGCCAAGGGGATCCAGAGTTATAATTAAACATACAAACAGAAAAAAAAACAGATTACTATCTTGTATATACATAGATACACATTAATGCTTGTTTTTATATTAGAGATTCTGCAGAACACTGAATTATGTTTGTTTTTATGTTAGTGAATTTGTAGTACACTGGATATGGTTTTTTTATATGAGGGATTCTGCAGTACACAGGATAATTTCTGTTTTTATATTAGAGATTTTGCAGTACACTGAATTATGTTTGTTTTATGTTAGTGAATTTGTAGTACACTGGATATGGTTTTTTTTATATGAGGGATTCTGCAGTACACAGGATAATTTCTGTTTTTATATTAGAGATTTTGCAGTACACTGGATAATGTCTGTTTTTATTTTAGGGATTTTGCAGTACACTGGATAATGTCTGTTTTTATATTAGGGATTCTGCAGTACACTGGATAATGTCTTTTTTTATATTAGGGATTTTGCAGTACACTGGATAATGTCTGTTTTTATATTAGGGATTCTGCGGTACACTGGATAAACAACATAGAGACTGATAAACTGTACAAGGGTTGGCCTGAAAGTGTACAGGTAACATTTAGAGGAACATGAAGAATAAATTACAATTCTTTCCTGCTGTTAAACTAACAAGTTCAAATTAAAATTCGGGGATGAACCAAATCTCTATAGAGTAAATAAAGTCGATTCCACATGTTATTGAAAATATATGTCAGTCTGGATTGACCCTCGTCAGTTCTAGAGATCGTTTCTGCCAGGAAGATTAAAAACAAAATTCAATCCTATGAATGTCAATTTTAGCCGCTTAATATGAAATTTTGAAGTTTTGGTAGATGATAAATAAAAGCTCGATCTTTATTTCAATGTGGGAAAGAGGGATTGGGTACCTAAAATTCTGCTTTTATATGATTAATATTTAAATAATTTTATTAATTTTATCAGGAGCTGTTGCGCCCAACCTTCCCTGGCATGTTGCGGAGTATCCGGAAAAATTTCTTCAATATCGTGATTCTCTGTGATCCGACCAACCTTAACTCCAAGAGCATTCTCAAGCTTGTAGAGTCATTCTACGTGCACAGAGCTCCAACTAGGATTGGAGTTGTACTTCAGGTTGGAACTTAATTATTAAGTTTTTTGATTATGCAAATTTTTGAATTTTCTTTGAGAAATTGCCCTTCGGAAGCTGTAAGTTTGGGGCATTGCTATTTGGTCACATTTCTGTAATTGGGTACTCCCATCTTTCTTAATTTCAAAGTGACACACTTTTAAATTAAGAAATATGGGGATAGGATGTCCCTAAAATTAAGAAATATGGGTATAGGATGTCCCTAAAATTAAGAAATATGGGGATAGGATGTCCCTAAAATTAAGAAATATGGGGATAGGATGTCCCTAAAGAATGATTTGAATAGATCGTTAGAAACCCAAGTATAAATATATAGATAGTTCTTAACAGTTAAATGCCTCAAAACAAGACCCTTCCATTTAAAGATTTTCTAAACTAATCTCTAATGTAAGAAATATCAATTATTAGGTAGACTCAAACCTGGAAAAGACCGGAGAGAACGATGTCGGAGTAGCAATTAACAACGCTTTTAACTACATCTCCACCAACAAGCAAACCTACGACGCTCTGGCCTTCATCACAGACCTGTACAGTAAGTTAGAGGAGGGAGACAACCTCGACCTTGCACACGTTAAGGAGACCTTCTTGGAGGCCTACGGATCTGATGTTAAGATGGTGGATGTGTTTGGCGAGGACTCGGAGTATGATGTTGGGCGGCAGTTGTCCGCAGAATTCATAGAAAAGACTGGATTAAACTCACTGCCACAGGTTTATTTTAAGGACAGACAGGGTAGGACGGAACGGAACGGGACGGGATCGGACGGGACAAAATTTTAGAAAGGATTTTAGAATGGATTTTAGAATGAACTATTAAGGCGCTGATAAACGGAGTCCCTATTGATGAGAAGTATCTAACTGAAGAGGATTTTGAAGAGCAGCTTCTTGGAGTTCTCATGAAGGAAACTCAAAACCTTCAGAGAGCTGTTTATAAAAACCAGCTTTCAGATAAACAGGTGGGAATAAAATTCTATTAAAAAAACAAATTCCAATGTTGCATGTAACATACAATACTGTGTCGGAAACAGGCTTCAATTGTTTTTCAATATTTTGTTTGATTTAAGTATTCTAAATCTTGAAAGTTCATTTTGAGATTGATATTCTGATTAATTGCTTGATTGATTGGATTCTGTAACCAGTAACCACGTGTTCAGGATGTTCTAGACTACCTCATGTCACAGGAGAATATTATGCCGCGTCTCAATCAGAAAATTCTAGACTCAAGTGAATCTAAGGTATTTAGAAATTATTTATTTATAGAACCAATACTGATGGGTCATACTTTTTATTTATTGATGATTATTCATTTTCGTTTTGTCATCCTTGATTGATCATTTTCGAATTATTATTTTTGATTTTCCATTTTTATCATTTGATTGATTGATATCCCAAGGTGTTGAATATGGCTGGAGATCAGTTGAACTCTCTGAAAATGACGTCTTTCTCCCGCCTTGATAAACGATCAATGTCTGCAACTATGGTGAAGAATCTATTCTACATTACTGGGAAGGAAGGATCTAAGGTGAGTTCACATTTGACGCTTATTTCACTGAATGATGGGTATTCCTTGACCTTTCTCATTAACTAGAGGTTCTTGTAAGACAAGGATACTACTGGATAGATATTAATGAATTCAACAAATTGTTTGATGAAATACATGGAAACGGTTAGTTTAAAACTGTCTAAATTAGTCATGTTTTTAAGCCAATTTTTACAAAAATAAAAAGATAAAGATAAAGATATGTTTATCCACAACCAAGGATAACCATTTTGGTATTTAATGCGTGGATTTAAATTTCGACTTTAATATACGAGCTTTACGATATTAAGCTAATAATGTACCTGTTGTTATTAAAAAGGGATTTTTTCATTCTGTCAGTTAATTCTAAGCTTATCAGATTGCAATAAAAAAGCTGAGATCATAGCAAACTATCTTTGGTCCGATGATGGAGTAAATTTTCTGAACTTATTGTGCAGGGTAGAATTCATCTTAATTTCTGTCATGAATTATTTTTCGACACAGTTTTAATTGTAATCTAAACCGTATCTTATTCAAATCAATCCTTGTCACTGTAATTTTTCCTAAAACTTGTTTTTAAATACTAAAAATGCTTGATTTTAAGGGTTTTTGAGAGTTGATATTCATTAACAGCATTTTTTCAGTATTTTGATTCAGTATCATAAAAAATTAGTAGTTTTTAAATGGTTTTGGGAATTTTCAAGACAGAAATCCGGAATTATATTCCCTGGGAGTTGGTTACGCTGAATTTGAAAATAAAATCTTTCCCCAGATGTCTTCTCTTCGTATGGTTTCCAGCTGGGTTGTCTGTGACCTTGAGACTAAGGCTGGTCGTGCAACTGCGCTTGCTGCGGTCAAGCACGTTAAGTCCTCAAACCAAATGCGTGTTGCGTTCATTCACAATACAGAAAACCCAGGTTAGTTTTTCATGGCTTTGGTAAGTCCAAGACTTCACAATTTCGCAGATTTCGTCAACTAAGAATAAGATACTTATAGTGGCAGATTTTACGTGTAAAACGTTTGAAAGTTACATTAACCTTGACTAACTCATGTTTGTAATGATTACTTTGATTAAAATATGATTACTCTACTCAAAATCTATTTTGTTGCTTTCTGATACCGTAAACCTTTGATGTTTCAAACTAAAAGTTCTGCTAAAGCACCAGTTTGAACATTCTACGGTTTACACCATCAAGTTGAAAAAGTATTAAATAAACAAAGATTACAGAGATCTTTTTTCATTGTTTGTAAATCTTGATTTTCTCCATGAATTTCAGGTTCGATAAGTAAGGCAGTTGAAGCTGCTGTTAGATTTATGAAACCGTCAGCTGCTGCTACTTTTATTGCTAAAATATTGAAGGTAATATTTTATCTTGATCCTGATCTTGATCCTGATCTTGATCCTGATCTTGATCCTGATCTTGATCCTGATCTTGATCCTGATCTTGATCCTGATCTTGATCCTAGATACTGCTGTGAAACTGACTGCAGGAACCAAGAAGCTTGTGGATTATGATATCCCTGGGGTTGAAATGAAAGATTTCCTTCAAAAGATGGAGGTTAGTGATAAATAATAAATAAATGCTTGATTCCGGCAACACGAAATTTTCGTGTACTTCTGATAATTTCTTGGTGGATTACTAAATGTTTACTATAATATATATTTATAAATATTGTGAAGGCTGAACTACCTGAAGATGTCTTCAACGTGCACCGTCTCTATGTTGAGAAGGTGGTTAAGCTTACAACAGAACAAACAGCTGTTCTCACCAATGGAAGGTATAATCAGTGTTCATCTTTAAATTTGCTAAATTTATAAAATGATTATTTATTCACTTAAATCAAAACTTTTTAAAAAATTCGTCTTGATTTTGTTGATATAATTGCCCTCCACTGAAGGTTGGTTGGTCCAATGGCTGGTGACGAGGAGCTTACCTCCAATGATTTCGAATTGTTGGAGAAGCTAACTATGAGCATGTATGGAGAGAAGTTGGTTCAGTCTTTCTACAATCATCTAGACGTCAACAAACCGGATATCAGTGATGTTGCCCTCATCCTAGGTAAGCCCCTAATATAATGATAAATCACTAAATTTATGTGAGAAAATTTCATTGAATCTTTATTTAGGAGGACTACTGACCTCGCGTACAAGTGCAAAGACGCGCACTGAGCTAAGCTTCCGGTCGGATGAACACAGTGTTATCAAAATAGAACCACGCTTTCCAGATCGTCCTGCCTTTGATCTCGTCGCTATCGTGGATCCGATATCTCGAGGAGCGCAGAAGATTGCTCCCGTCCTTCTTGTGCTCCAGCAGGTTCTCAACGCTAGGATCAGGGTGTTCATGAACCCTGTCGATAAGCACAGCCAGATGCCGAACAAGTCCTTCTTCCGTGTTGTTCTAGAGCCATCTCTGCAGTTTGGAGAGACGGGTCAACTCCTACCTGGACCGCGTGCAGCCTTCCACAATATCCCAGAGCAACCAATCCTCACACAGAACTACCATGTTCCAGACAACTGGCTGGTGGAGCCTGTCAAGTCTGTGTACGATTTAGACAACATCAAGTTAGAAGGAATAGACCATGGAGTCTCCTCAGAGTGGGAGCTAGGTTCGATTCTTCTTGAGGGACACTGTTTCGAGTCAGGAACCGGAAATCCACCACGTGGTCTTCAACTGAATCTTGGAACCAAAGCTAACCCTAATCATACAGACACGATAGTGATGGCCAACCTTGGTTATTTCCAGCTAAAGGCGGACCCAGGAGCGTGGTACCTTAACCTCAGACCAGGACGGAGTGATCTCATCTACGAAATCGTTAGGCAACCAAATAATTCGGAATTAAGAAAGAAACTCTCGAACCTTCCTTTATATAGTCCTTTAATAATTTTACTCGTCGGTTTTGGTGATGCAATACTAGTATTTTAGATAAAAAACATCTTCTGGATATTTATCCTGGATATCTGAATACGCGTGTTCTTGATATTTATCCTGGATATCTGAATAACTTGATATATATCCTGGATATCTGAATAAGTATGTTCTTGATATATATCCTGGATATCTGAATAAGAGTGTACTTGATATATATCCTGGATATCTGAATAAGAGTGTACTTGATATATATCCTGGATATCTTAATAAGTGTGTTCTTGATATATATCCTGGATATCTGAATAAGTGTGTTCTTGATATTTATCATGGATATCTGAATAAGTGTGTTCTTGATATTTATCGTTCATGGATATCTGAATAAGTGTGTTCTTGATATTTATCCTGGATATCTGAATAAGTGTGTTCTTGATATTTATCATGGATATCTGAATACTCGTGTTCTTGATATTTATCCTGGATATCTTAATACTCGTGTTCTTGATATATATCCTGGATATCTGAATACGCGTGTTCTTGATATATATCCTGGATATCTGAATACGCGTGTTCTTGAAATTTATCCTGGATATCTGAATAAGTGTGTTCTTGATATTTATCCTGGATATCTGAATAAGTGTGTTCTTGATATTTATCCCGGATATCTGAATACTCGTGTTCTTGATATTTATCATGGATATCTGAATACTCGTGTTCTTGATATATATCCTGGATATCTGAATACTCGTGTTCTTGATATATATCATGGATATCTGAATACGCGTGTTCTTGATATATATCCTGGATATCTGAAGAAGTGTGTTCTTGATATTTATCCTGGATATCTGAATAAGTGTGTTCTTGATATTTATCCTGGATATCTGAATAAGTGTGTTCTTGGTATTTATCCTGGATATCTGAATAAGAGTCTTCTTGATATTTATCATGGATATCTGAATACTCGTGTTCTTGATATATATCCTGGATATCTGAATACGCGTGTTCTTGATATATATCCTGGATATCTGAAGAAGTGTGTTCTTGATATTTATCCTGGATATCTGAAGAAGTGTGTGCTTGATATTTATCATGGATATCTGATTAAGTGTGTTCTTGATATTTATCCTGGATATCTGAATACGCGTGTTCTTGATATTTATCCTGGATATCTGAATAAGTGTGTTCTTGGTATTTATCCTGGATATTTGAATAAGTGTGTTCTTGATATTTATCCTGGATATCTGAATAAGTGTGTTCTTAACGTCTGAATATCTGAATATTTGGTTTTTAAAAGTCACGAGAATACGGATAGTGAAAAAGGAGAAAAGGATATCCCGGTTCTAATGAATAGTTTTGCCTCCAGGTAAACATTTATCAGGGGCGTACTAAGGAGTTTGTCCAGGGGATCATAACTTTTTTCTTGGGGGGGGGGGGGGGGGGCTCATTCAGCAGTAAGCACCCTTTGCGGCGCCAATACCCCTCTGGAAACTTTAGATTAAACTGATCCAGGGGGCCCCTTTTGTACAGCTCAGTGAGTACTATGTAGTCTTTTAAGTCTGTGACTGTGTGTGTAGCAAAGTAGCAAAATGTTCACTAAAACACTGCACATTTTAATTGTCACTAATGACTTTGAGAGATCACCAACCCCTTCTTAATTTGAATTATTAAATGTAAATTAAGTGCCTACATACAAATTATTGATGGAGAAAAAAGAACATTTTGGAGAAAAAAAAAATTTAGAAAAGGAACTTGATCCAGAATATGGATCCATTTTTTAAAGATCGGATCGAGGATCTGGATTCGCAACTAATTAAAATAAATCCCTTTTACAATGGCGACCAGTAAATGTTTCTGCACTAAAAATTCATACGAAATGTTGATTGAAACTTAATGATATCATTAGAACTGTTAATTGCAGGATTGTAAAGCTGAAAGTTGCAAAGAAGCCTGAAATGCGTCACGAGGAACTGCTTCCCTCGGACAAAGGTAGTATTATCAAAAATGGCTAAAAAATTATTACATTTTAAAATGGTTTAAGGGGCAACAGACGCAATTTCAAGCGACTCTCCCTTTATAGAGTGGTATGTACGTTTTTGCAAAGGTTCCCTTAACCCTTTCCCTGCTGGGGTACTTGAAAACAAGGATATGTTGGNGATGGGTCTAATATGATATATCATTGGAAAGTTCTTTATGCTCTACTTTTAGAATCTGCAAAAAATTACAAATATGCAAAGAATTAAAAATTACAAATCTGCAAAAAAATTTGCTAAATTTTAACAAACCTGATGTTTAATTAAGAAAAACTAAAAATGTGCAAATTTCTTTTGACAGGTTGTATGCAAATAATTTGCACAAAAAAATTTTGTAAAACTTGTGCAATCTGCTTTCTTATGTCATTGGCTTTCCAAAAAAATAAAAATTATCAAAATCTGACAACTGAAAGTGGGTTAAAACAAAGATTTAGTTTGTAAGAGGAAAAAGTAGTCATTTAGGCAGTTAGTATAAAAGCACGGTTTTAGACCTAAAGGAAGGGCTTTGGATATTTAGGAAAAGTCGGAACATTTTAATAGCGTCAGACTTTTTGAGTTATTTAAAAAACTACAGGGGGATCAAATTGACCCCCCCCCCCCAGTAGGAATAGGGTTAAAATAATAAGATATCCATGTTTATTGTTTAGCTCTGTAAGAATTGATTATTTATTGTTAAAATTTGAATTATTTTTTACTGATCAACGTATTGGGGATTCATGCTTCATAGACATGAAGGAAATTTGTAGAATTCGACACTTTTCAGATAACAAATTTAAACACGAAGTTAGAGGTTTGAAGTGCCTCCTTGTGAATGTGACTTGCCATTCTATAAATGGAGGGTTACTTTAAATTATTTCTCCACTCTACAGTCCCTATTACGAGAGGAATTCATTGTTCATTAAATTTTAAGAATATAATGTTTTAAAATTAAAGAGGCTTTATATTTTTATTATTTATCTATAAATTTAATGTTTGACCATCAGTTATTTGAAGTTATATTTAAGTCTAGTTGTTCAATTTATATTAATTTTTAAAATTGTTCCATTTTGCTTTTTGTAAACCCTTTTGTACAATTAATGGGACAGAAGTTGTAATTATTTGTGTGACCATTTATTTAGGTTAGCATGGCTTGATTCACAACGCTACACTTAGAGAACAGTGTGAAGAATACAAATAATTACTCTAGAAAAGTGTAAAACCGCCATTTTGTGGTTCTGTAACAATGTTACTTCAAAACATTTATGCTAACCTTTTGGTCCTTAGAACTCATTTCATTAAAGCAGCTTAGAACTCATTTTATTAAAGCAGCTTAGAACTCATTTCATTAAAGCAGCTTAGAACTCATTTTATTAAAGCAGCTTAGAACTCATTTTATTAAAGCAGCTTAAAACTCGTTTTATTAAAGCAGCTATCTTTAAAACCACGATATCTTCTTTATTGTTTTGAATCAGATACTCTATAGAAGAGGTTCACTTGAAATTATATTTACAGTCCCTTTAGTTCTCTTTTCTTCTAGGTGGTGAGGATACTGGAATATGGTCCTCGATCAAGTCAAAGTTCTCAGGTTCGGAGAAGGAGGAGGAAGTGGATGAGGGATTAAATATATTCTGTTTGGCAACTGGGCATCTTTATGAAAGATTGCTCAAGGTATAAATCTATTAAATATATTCTGTTTGGCAACTGGGCATCTTTATGAAAGATTGCTCAAGGTATAAATCTATTAAATATATTCTGTTTGGCAACTGGGCATCTTTATGAAAGATTGCTCAAGGTATAAATCTATTAAATATATTCTGTTTGGCAACTGGGCATCTTTATGAAAGATTGCTCAAGGTATAAATCTATTAAATATATTCTGTTTGACAACTGTGCATGTGTATGTCAGATTGCTCAAGGTATAAATCTATTAAATATATTCTGTTTGACAACTGTGCATCTGTATGTCAGATTGCTCAAGGTATAAAACTATTTTCAGCTGGATTTGGGTAAATCATGTTTGACTTTTCTAGAGATTTGTTCAAGGACAGTTTATCTACATAGGTTTCATTTGCAATATTAGACAAATTCTTACATAATTTTGGTCTTTGGTCATTTTTGCATAAATCAAACAATAGTCGGATGCTGAGCTTGGGACTTTTACACATAGATTCGTAAAATAGATACACAACATAGTTTTTAAATGAATTTGTTCAATAAAATATCTATGAGTTTGTGGTGGCAAGTCTGATGGGTCTAATACTGTCACGTCTGATGGGTCTAATACTGCCGAGTCTGATGGGTCTAATACTGGTACGTCTGATGGGTCTAATACTGTCAAGTCTGATGGGTCTAGTACTGTCAAGTCTGATGGGTCTGATACTGTCACGTCTGATGGGTCTAATACTGTCAAGTCTGATGGGTCTAGTACTGTCAAGTCTGATGGGTCTAATACTGTCAAGTCTGATTGGTCTAATACTGTCAAGTCTGATGGGTCTAATACTGTCAAGTCTGATGGGTCTAATACTGTCAAGTCTGATGTGTCTAATACTGTCAATTCTGATGGGTCTAATACTGTCAATGTTAATGGGTTTAATACTGTCAAGTCTGATGGGTCTAATATTGTCAAGTCTGATGCCTTTAATTCTGTCAAGTCTGATGGGTCTAATACTGTCAAGTCTGATGGGTCTTAATAATACTGTCAAGTCTGATGGGTCTAATACTGTCAAGTCTGATGGGCATTTAGTAGGAAATGAGGCGGAATGATAATAAATATAAAACCGGTTTTTAATATTTATTGTGATATAGATAATGATGTTGTCGGTACTGAAGACAACCAAGGCTCCTGTCAAATTCTGGATTCTGAAGAACTTTTTGTCTCCTGATTTAAAGGTATAATATAAAAAAGTTTTTTTAAAACGTTAGGATTTTATACCTGAGTATTCCTGGAGGTATGGGTTTGAATATGAATGGGTTGAATACAAGTATATATGTTTATTAGGATTTTATCCCTGAGTGAGTATGCCCGGAGGTATGGGTTTGAATATGAATGGGTTGAATACAAGTGTTTATATTTGTTAGGATTTTATCCCTGAGTATTCCCGGAGATATGGGTTTGAATATGAATGGGTTGAATACAAGTGTAAATGGGTTTGAGTATGAATGGGTTGAATACAAGTGTATATGTTTGTTAGGATTTTATCCCTGAGTATGCCCGGAGGTATGGGTTTGTGTATGAATGGGTTGAATACAAGTGTATATATTTGTTAGGATTTTATCCCTGAGTATGCCCGGAGGTATGGGTTTGAATATGAATGGGTTGAATACAAGTGTATATATTTATTAGGATTTTATACCTGAGTATGCCCGGTGGTATGGGTTTGAGTATGAGAGGGTTGAATACAAGTGTATATATTTGTTAGGATTTTATCCCTGAGTATGCCTGAAGGTATGGGTTTGTGTATGAATGGGTTGAATACAAGTGTATAATATATTTGTTAGGATTTATCCCTGAGTATGCCCGGAGGTATGGGTTTGAATATGAATGGGTTGAATACAAGTGTATATATTTGTTAGGATTTTATCCCTGAGTATGCCCGGAGGTATGGGTTTGAGTATGAATGGGTTGAATACAAGTGGCCGAGATGGTTAAACCAACAGAGTGAGAAGCAGAGGTTAGAATTCACATTACCTTTAAAGGAACTGGATACGTTATTTTCAGTGACCCTTCATCAATTGAGTGTCCGATTCACAACGGTAACCCTTCAAACTTGATGTTTTCAAGAAAAAATGCAATTTTTCATTTTTGAAAATTTAATGATTTTAAAACCCGTTAAAGCTAAAAATACGACGATACATTTCTTATTATTGATAAGATAAAGGTTGTGAATCGGGCATTACTCTCTTCAGATTGAGGGTCCCTTCATCTCAACGACAGTACCTTGAATTGATTGGTGACGGTGAATTTACTTGTGAAAGATCCAAGTAGTTAAAATAAACAAATTATTCACCCTAAAAAGTCAAAATTTTAAGTAATGTCGTTCTGAATTTTTTTTTTTTAAGAAATTGATTACTCGTCTTAAACTCGTCTTAAATTCCCTTTATCTTTGCAACCCCCGATATTATAAATTATGAATTCTGCAAGATCAAATAGTTCAAGTTTGTAACATCAATGGTTTACTTCGCCTGACACCATTAGTTTTCAATGATAAAGGAATTCGAAATGTTTCAGTGAAATTTTCTGAAGTGTAAAAAAAAGGGGGGGCAAGAATCCTATTACTCGCCGGAAAATTTAAACAGTGAATAAACATAACTTAGCTTTTTTGTAGAAAGCTGATTTTTGAACTATTGGTCGTTAGAAGTATTGTTCATTTGAACTATTGGTCGTTAAAACTATTGTTCATTTGAACTACTGACATGACGTCATATCCTGTAATTCAAATTAACACAATATTTCCTTATTTGAACTATTTTTTGTAAACATGAAGCAGTTATATAATTAAGAGATTGGCATGAGCATCAAAGAATAGTTTAAATGAACAGAACAATATTTCAAATAAACGTAAAAATAGTTCAAATAAAATATTTTCAATAAACCGAAATTTTGTTTTAAGAAATAGTTCAATAACAATTATATCTCAAATGAACAGAAAAATAGTTCAAATAAATTCCAAGAAATAGTTCAAACGTGTATTTATTAAATTGGAATTCCAAAAAATATAGTTCAAATTTATGTACTATTTCAGGGTTAGGTTATTGTTAAGACAATTTCTGGGCCAAGGGCTACGGCTAGGACATGCTAGGAGGCTGAGCGCTTCGGCTATTAGTTCAAATGAACCAAATAATAGTCAAAAAACTAGTTTTTTCCTGTAAACTATATTTCATTTAGACTCATGAATTTAATTTTTAAAAAAAATATTTTAATTTGAACTATTTTTTGTACAAATTAACATAATTTTTGTTCATTTGAACTATTTTTTTTGCTCATTTGAACTATTTTTGTTCATTTGAACTGTTTCTTGTTCATTTGAACTATTTTTTGTTTATTTGCACTATTTTTATGGGTTTATTTGAATTATCATGATAATAATTTTAATGAACAGTAGTTCAAATGAACAAAAAAAAATAGTTCAAATGAGCATGAAGCAAACTTGTTTGAACAATTGGTTGTTTAAACTTCTCACGTGGTACCACATGCAGTAGCTCAAGCAAACAATAGTTCAAACAACGATTGTTCATATAGGATAGCATCCACCCTTTTATGTGAATTTTATCATTCTATATTTCTTCTAACAGTGCAGTGAAGGTAAACATTTAAATTCTGTATTGATAACTTTTCTTTCTTAGAACCATTTGGGGATACAAAATCCTGTTCCTGGACGTTCTTTTCCCTCTCAACCTGAAGAAGATCATCTTCGTCGATACAGATCAGATTGTTAGGACGGATCTAGTAGAACTCAGGTTAGATCAGATTGTTAGGACGGATCTAGTAGAACTCAGGTTAGATCAGATTGTTAGGACGGATCCAGTAGATTTCAGGTAAGATTAGATTGTTAGGGCGGATTTAGTAGATTTCAGGTTAGATCAGATTGTTAGGACGGATCTAGTAGATTTCAGGTTATATCAGATTGTTAGGAAGGATCTAGTCGAACTCAGGTTAGATCAGATTGTAGGGACGGAATTGTAGTAGAACTTAAGTTAGATCATATTGCTTGGATGGATCTAGTAGAACTCAGGTTAGATCAGATTGTTAGGACGGAATTGTAGTAGAACTCAGGTTAGATCAGATTGATAGGACGGGTCAAGCAGAGCGCAGGTTAGATCCGATTGTTAGGGCGGATCTAGTAGAACTCAGGTTAGATCAGATTGTTAGGACGGATCTAGTAGAACTCAGGTTAGATCAGATTGATGGACGGGTCAAGCAGAGCGCAGGTTAGATCAGATTGTTAGGGCGGATCTAGTAGAACCCTGGTTAGATCAGATTGTTAGGACGGATCTAGTAGAACTCAGGTTAGATCAGATTGTTAGGACGGATCTAGTAGAACTCAGGTTAGATAGATTGTAGGGACGGAATTGTAGTAGAACTTAAGTTAGATCATATTGCTTGGATGGATCTAGTAGAACTCAGGTTAGATCAGATTGTTAGGACGGATCTAGTAGAACTCAGGTTATATAAATAATAGATCAAATTGATAGATTGGAGAGTCTCCGAACTGGAGCTGTCCTGGGCAGATCGCCTAGAATAAGTCTTCTCCCTAGGGTGTATACCCCGTGGATACGTTGTTTCGACGGTTAGGAGCGCCGACCCCTATTTCATTGAATGATGGGTTGTCCTTTAATAATAATAATAATAAGATAGGTAGAGAAATAGATGTAGCAAATGATTTTTAGAACATGCCTTTATATATGCATTGTACAATGTTTAAGGATAAGTCACGGGATTGTAGCCGTGTGGATCATGTCCGGTTTGAGACATTGATCAATTGATTGCTAGTGTTCGTATTGACACCACCAATAGCTAACAAGATCGTGCCCAGACTGTGGCGTTGATAGTTCCCGGGATTGTGTGTGTGTGGATCCTGTTAGAATTTAATTTAGGACTGGTTGTACCTGGACTGATACAGTTTATGTGACGAACTTTTAAGAGTACGGCATTTACTACATAAATATAGATTAAAATCCGGTTGTAATCCAGTTTTTTTCTAGGGATCTGGACCTTGAAGGAGCTCCATATGGGTATACTCCATTCTGTGATTCTAATAAAGATATGGAAGGATTTAGATTCTGGAAACAGGTTTGGTTTTCATCATACAATCATGCTAAAAAAAACTACATATGCTTCATCATTTTTTATTAATTTTCTAGGGCTACTGGCGGAATCATCTAGCAGGGCGGAAGTATCATATCTCCGCCATATATGTTGTAGATTTAGTGAAATTCCGGCAGATAGCTGCTGGTGACCGGCTCAGAGGTAGGTCATTTTTTCTACAGGACTATTGACTGGACTTCAAAGATGACTGTTAGGAAAATATTTAGTCATTTTTTTTTATCAATTTCCTGCAACTCTTTTTCATCTTTGCCAAATCATTTAATAAACCATTGAAATATCTTTGACAAAGAAAAAGATCAAAATTATTAATTTCATTTTTAATGGTTTCCGGTTGCCATCTTTAAGTCGCAATCCTTTGTTGTTAACCCTTTTATATCCATAGAAGAACTAAGTCTGGGTGATAACAAATAGTTCCTATTCACTGTTATCATTGCTTAAATGTTTCAGACACATTATATACAACGTGTTGGACAAAACCGTCTTTTACCGTTTACATTAAATTATTCTCGAGCAGAAGTTATTTTGGGTGACTTATGAAATTCGATATTACAGCGCTTATTCTTAACAAAGGCTATTTTTCTTAACCCAAATATTTAAAGGGACACCCTGGATCAACAAAACTATTGAACCCTGAAAAACATGCTCAACGCTCATTTTCATTTTTATTTTTAGGTCAGTATCAAGCTCTGTCCCAGGATCCAAATAGTTTATCCAATCTTGATCAGGATCTACCTAACAATATGATACATCAGGTTAGTTGGGTGGGTGTATTGGTTAGATGGTTGGGAGGGCGGTTGGTTGGATGATTGATTAATGTTGGATGGGTGTTTGGTTGGGGTGGTTGGATCGTGTAATCGGTCATTTGGTTTTTAGTTAGATAATAAATTAATGGATACATTTTATAATCAGTTCCGTGGTTGATAAGTTCTTTATTTGTTTTTTTTATTTGTTTTTTGTTTGATTATTTATTATTTTAAGACTCGAGTATAATGAATATTCAGAACTAAAAGGCCATCAAATAAAATGTCGTCTTAGAAAATCTAATTCTAAATAATCTGTTATTTTTTTATCTTTGAGATATGTAAATAAGTCTTAAAGGGTTTTAAAAAATTTTACTTTTTGATCTCCAGGTTTTTTATTTTCACGTGTTCTCAAATATATATTAAAGGATTAAGTCTTGCTTTAAATCTTCAAATAGGTCCAACTTTTTGTTATTTTTTGTTTGTAGGTTCCAATCAAGAGTCTGCCGCAAGAATGGTTGTGGTGTGAAACCTGGTGTTCTACTGATGAGCTCAAAAACGCTAAATCAATAGATTTGTGCAATAATCCACTCACAAAGGTAAACATACCAGAGCTGAAAACTTTAGAATTATGGATATCGAGATCAATGCTTGATCTTCTCTTTTTGTTAATGTCAAGATTAATTTAATCTTAAGTTTGTATTCATAAAAGTGTATATACCTTAACCAATAGAGTGGCGTTTGGAGAAACCAAAACAGCCAATCAGAGAGTCTGAAAATTTGAAATTTGTGCGCAATTTAATGAGAGAACTCTCATTGGTCGGACACTGGCAGGGAGAGAAAAAGAGCTGAGGGAAATTAAGAGTGTTCACATTGGATATTCAGATTAAGCTATCGGGATTAAAGGTGAAGTTCGAATGTTGTTAAATATTAAAATAGGGCCAGAGGTATAGTTAGAGATTTTGTGGCAGGTGTAAGACTTCACGTAGCAGATTTATGGTCTTGGATACTATTGGTGACAGATTTAAGGACTTTGATACTCTGTGTAAGATTTTGAACTAAAATTCTTTTGGTGGCAGATTAATGAACTTGGATACTCTATGTCAGATTTGTGAACTAAGATACTATTTGCGTCATAATTGTGAACTGGAATACTATTTGTGACAAACTTATGGATTAAGATACTGTTTGTGACGGATTTACGGCCTTGGATACTTTTATGACAGACTTATGAACTAAAACTCCAGTTCTGTCAGATTAATGACAGATTTACGGATTGTGACAAAATAATGGACTAAGATACTATTTGTGACAGATTTACGGTCTTGGATACTTTTTTTGACAGACTTATGAACTAAGACACTATTTATGGCAGATTTGGTAAATAAGATACTATTTGTGGCAGATTTATATATTTGAATAAAAAATATATAAATTGGCTTTTATGGGGTGCACTGTGATTTAAAGGTCCCACTCTCTCAAGCAAAAATCGATGAGAGTTTTGCCAGATACTTCTTAAAGCAAACAAGTGCTTTATAGTGCTAAAAGGTACATATAAAGGGTTACCTAAAAGCATAAGTGAGTTAGAACGGTAAAATCTAAACCCAAGGCGTTGGTTCACTTCAAAGTCGACCCTGTCTTAAAAATTGATGAGACTGTTTGTAAAAAGGCTGAATTTATGTGAGTGTGATAGGTGTATAATGTGAAATGTTAAGTTTTTAACCCAAATCAATCCTAGATGAACACTTGAATTCGCACATATATAATTTAAGGACAATTTTTAATTAGTTCATTTGTGAAATCAACACTTAACAATATCCTTATCCTTGCAGGGTTGTTTAACCTCTTTATTTAAAGTTTGTTTGGGGTTTTACCTTTAAGAGGTGAACAGTTTTGGACGAAATTTTTTAAAAAATAATTTTGAATTTACTTTTGGGAATAAAATTTTCTTCTATTCTGACGAACTTTTTAGTACTTAAAAAACTTTACGTTTAACTGGTTAGGACCCCAGACCTAGTCACCTAATCAATGAATAGTTCAAAGTATTTTAGCTAGTTTTGGTTAGATTAACTACTTAATAAGTGCTCTCTTGACTATTCAAGAGAAGTAGTTAAAGTATCTTTACATAGGTTAACTAATTCCTGCATTTATTAAATCCATTTTCAAGTTTAACCCCCCCCCCCCACCACCACCACCATCATCATAATGCATCTACATTTTCCAAGTTATCCCCTCCTTTCATTTAAAAAATGTTGTTTCAATTTTCGAAAACATTGTATTTTACCTGTATTATTTGCACAATTCACGTAGAAAACTCATTAATGCACTTTATTCATTGGATTTTAGTAAATGCAGGCAATAAACTTACAGGAAAAAACACAACTTTTAAAATTACAATAATTATACTCTTGAATTAGCCAGAAGAAGTTCAGCGAGGAGGGGGGAGGGGGAGGCAACTTAAATATATAATTTCTAACAAATTACATATCTGATATTGTACCCTGACTTTATCAGGGCTTTGCAGTGGGTAGCCTTTAAGCATCATAAGTTTTTTTCGGCTTTTATTTATAGAATTGCCTCGCAAAAATCAGGCAAGTTTTACTCTCGTCATAAGATCAAAGACATGAAAGGGAAGAAAAAAAAGCCTTTATTAATTAGCTTTCAGATATGTTGATTGTTGCCAGTCCAAAGACTTGAGTTATTTTGTATTATTTTGTTGAAATGATTCGAACAAATAATCCAAATTGAAATCCAGTAGTGGAGTGGTAAGTGGTAACTGCCAATCCATCAGAATGTTGAATATTGTAACAGTACTTTGACTTAATTACTAAAATTAAATTACCCTCATGAATGTTGCTTTAATAACTGTTACAGTGTTACATGTTAATAGGGGTTTATATTTTCTTCAAATTTTGTTTTCCTTGCTTGCTTGAAGGGGAAAAATCAACAAATTATCAAATAGTATTTAAAAAGTTGTCTTTTTGATGTCCATTTTTTCATTTTTTTCAAATCATCAAAGATCAATTCCACTCCCCCCCCCCCAACCCCCCTGAAAAATATATTCCACTGCATCAAAAAGTCGCATTAAAATTGTGTTGTCACTTCGCTAATGTAAGTAGGCCATCCCTTAAAGTGTGATATGATTTTGCAGGAGCCTAAGCTGTCAGCTGCCCGACGTATAGTATCTGAATGGACTGACTATGATGATGAGATGAGGCTACTGGGTCAGGAGATTGCAGCGGCAAGGAAGGAAACTAAACCAGCGCAGCAACACGTGGAAGAGAAACCGGTTCGAGACGAGTTCTAGGATACAATTAAGACAACTGGTTAAACAGTGCAAACTTTTCATTTTAAGAACATTTAAGAACCCCCTTAAGAACTTTTTAAAAGACTTAATTAAAGTTAATTATCTTACTTTTTTCTCCTTCATCTCTTTAAAGATGGCGTCCTTTATTTAGTCTTATTTATTTGTCACACAATTATCAGCATTTACAAGATTATTAAAACAGATCTAATCTATAGATTGTGTTAATTTAAATGTCCATTAACGTTTAAATTCTGTAACCCATTATGTTGTTTTGTTTTATTTTCTTTTCTATGCATGTACTTAGATAAAATTAACTGTTTTAGTGAAATTGTGATAAAAATTTCGAATGTACTTATTGTTTGGGTGTTTTTAGGGGTTTTATTTTTTTTAATGTATAAAAAAAAATCTACTAACTGATCATGTTTTTTGTACTTTTTATGACTCGTTTTATCTGCATTATTTTTTGAAAAAACAATAATCTAAAAAGATAACATTTTTCAATTACTTTTTTGTCCGAATTTGGTGATCATTCTAACATATTCATTGTTTCTTCCTTTTTTTTGCAATGTTTACCTTGTTTATCTTTGCTCAACAGCATAGCTTCCAAGCAGTGCAGAACAAAGATTCTAATGTACTTAATGTACGTAAGTTTGTCTCGTAAATTGTGGTGTATCTTGGTTGCACTTTTTTGTGATATTTCCTGTAAAGAAAAATAAGATTGCAACCAGTGAATTCTGTAGTAGTGCGCGCCTATGTTTAAGCTAGAGAATTTACATATTTTGGTGAATAAACTTTTTTTAACTAATTTTTATAATTAGTGTAAAAATTTATAGTCATTGATGATACAGATTTTTAAAATAGACATGTAATGATGTAATGATGAAGTGAGGTTTTGGGGTTAATTCCTATTCCGTGACTATGCGATTTTCCTAAAGACCTAATGATAAATAGACAACTACCGTGCTGTATTTCGTCGGGCCTGACCGTAAGATCCTTTCCTCGCATCTCTCTTCATAATGAATAAAACTCAGGATAGCTTCAAGCTTTATTGAGGGACAGATCTTCAATCTTAAATAAAATAAAGCTTGGTTATACCACAGAAAAGCTTTGAGAGATAATTTCATACTATTCATACATCAAACAACACAAAAATATCATCTCAGGCGATAAAAACTGCAGCATTATGCTAGAAAACATACATATATAATCATACAATAACATGGACAATGGGTTTAAGTATTCTAAAAAGATAATTACCACATTAGTCCTCAAATTCTTAGCATGATAACAGTATAAATACACGAATAAAATTTTAACAATACTACTGGAAGAAAAAACTGAGCGGGTACTATGCAAGTTTCTCGAGCATGCGCAGATAGGATAAATCACCGGCAAAAACAGGTTTCATCTCCAGCATCTTCAACTTGAAAATAGGGATGAATATTGGTAACACAGGGGTGCATTATAGACTTTCATAACAAAGTATGTGCTAGCGTAACACTCGCCCACCAGCAAGAAAGAGAAAAAAGTTCTAACTGCACCCCGCGACCGAACACTCCTAAGTTTTAAGATCAACCTGAAAATAACAGTTCACTTTAATCACCGATAATTATCACTAGTTAGGTTTAACTCCACATTCTCCTTTAGAAGAACCTCTCCTCCCAAGGGATTTCCAGCTCTATGTCCAGATCCTCAGGGAACGCAATCTGAGGAACTCCTTCTATCAGTTCATCATAAGTAGGAGGTCTTTCCACAACCTTCCTAGAGAACCTCAACGCAGCACTCCTCCTCTTTGGCTCACGAACCTCCACCTCCTTCTCCTCTTTCTCCTCCAGGAAGACCTTGTGATCCTCATCCAACTTCACCACCTCCTCACATCTGTCCTCCTTCTGAGGCACGGAGACAATCCCTTCGAACCCATTCCTAACTCCGGATGAACCAGGAGAAGGCTGGGACGGAAGGATACCTGCCTGCTCCTCAGCAGTTGAGCCAGCAGCACTCGCCTTCATACTCTTCAGCTTTCCAGGACGCTTAATCCCAGATCTCTTCTGGATAAAAGATTTATAGATACTTAAAGCTGGATAAAAGATAAAAGATGGATAAAGCTGGAAAGATAAAAGATAGATAAAGCTGGATTAAAGATAAAAGATAGATAAAGCTGGATAGAAGATAAAAGATAGATAAAGCAGGATCGATAAAAGATAGATAAAGCTGGATAAAAAATAAGATAGATAAAGCTGGATAGAAGATAAAAGATAGATAAAGCTGGATAAAAGATAAAAAGACAGATAAAGCTGGATAAAAGATAGATAAAGCTGGATAAAAGATAAAAGATAGATAAAGTCGGATAAAAGATAAAAGATAGATAAAGCTGGATAAAAGATAAAAAGACAGATAAGCTGGATAAAAGATAAAAGATAGATAAAGCTGGATAAAAGATAAAAAGTCTAGTTAGTTGAGCAATATTAAGGTCAAGGTAAAAAAATCAACATTATTTTTTAAAAAAAGGCAAACGACCAATTAAGGGGTGAAAGTTAATGGTACGACGGGGGGAATAATTTTGAGATACGACGTAAATCAAAACCAAAAGAGGGAATATAATACAGAATGAAGAATCGTTTAAGTTTAACTTTTCTAATAGGCTAAAATTAAGTTATTTTTATAACTCAAGATTTTTAAGCATTTTCGCTTGATAATGAATGATCTTACCAATTCGTGCCATTTTTCTTTTTAAATTTTTTTCAATATACCCATGAAATTAAAAAGTGACAGAAACAGAAAATTTTCCTACTTGTCTACAGAAACAGAAACCTTTCCTTATTTATCTACAGAAACAGAAACTTTTCCTTATTTATCTACCGAAACAGATACTTTTCCTTATTTATCTACAGAAACAGAAACTTTTCCTTATTTATCTAAAGAAACAGAAACTTTTCCTTATTTATTTACAGAAACAGAAACTTTTCCTTATTTATCTACAGAAACAGAAACCTTTTCTTATTTATCTACAGAAACAGAAACCTTTCCTTATTTATTTACAGAAACAGAAACCCTTCCTTGTTTATCTACAGAAACGGATTAATCTGCCGTTGATGATTAGACAAAAGTTTTAAGTATCGTTGTGAATCAGAATCGGACAGCGGATCTTAAACTGGTTTTAAATTATGAAAAAAGAAAATATCACAGCAGACACCATTAAAAAAAATGTTGATTTCTTTTATACTTATCAAGTTATTCCTTATTTTACTTAAAACTAAAATTCGTGGAAATTTTTTGAAAAATTGATAGTTATGGGATTGACGTTTTGAAAGCCACCAGGATACAATTTTTAAAAATGGCGAAGTTTTACAGATTTGCTCAATTAACAAACGTGACTCATTAAACCAATTACGGTCAGCTTAGACAATTTTGTCCGTTGAATCAAAATTAAATTTATTCTCTGCATAAAAAATGAAAAATTATCGATTGATCTGTATAGATCAAACAGCAGGAGAATTGAAGGATAGATTCAGATGACGAAAAATTAGATGCTAAATAACTAGCACAGAAATGAAAAAGAATCAAAACTTCATTCATTATTTATTGATATTTAAAAAATTAAGATTTCTCTTAACAGAAAGTTTGAAAATATGTTATTGACATTATCATGTATTCTTAAAAAAAGTATCTTAACAAGCGATTATTTCTTCAAATGTAACAATATATAAAGGCTGTTAACGTTGACATTAGGCTATTCGATCTGATTGGCTTAATTTTATAAAAACAAATTTAACAAGCATTTTTATTATTTTTTTTGATGTTTTTCGACATTTAATGATTCATCAGAAAAAAATTAAAAAATACTTATAAATTGATTCTCACAACTTTGATCAACTTTATAAATCTATGCCTATTATGTGCAGTGGGTATAGATGTGCGCCAGATTAGATATGCATTTCAATGACGATTTTTTTGGCGATCCACGATTTTAAAGTCTTGTGCCTTGAGTGTGGTCTTTAAATGACTTTGGCAAAGAAAGAAAGAAGTTTTTACTTGCTGGGAATTATGACTGTAATGAAACAGATCTCTGAAGTCTCATGTTTTGTGTGCCCTGTCCCTGTAGCTAAAAGTTGGATTCCAACTAAGAACAGGGGTTCTGATAATTCTATCTAGTATGATCCCAAATGTTGACTAATTAATATTAGGGGCAGAAATTTACCAACCGTGGTCTTTTTGTAAGCAATTGGAAATATGATGTCAAGTTGTAGGAAAAAAATCCATGCTGCATTGTTTATTTTTCTGTATATCAAAATTTATCACTTATTTTGATTACTGATATTGACATTTTTAACACCCCAAATGCAGTACACACTATACTATTTTTTTTGTTTTTTTTTAAAAAGCAATGCTTGGTTTTTTTACGGTGGTATATAGTTTTCTTTATTACATTGTCAATGTACGCTATAAAGACTAACCTTTTTAACAAGTTTTAAGGGTTACATTTTAGTGTCTGAAACTTTTCAGTTTACATATACAATATACATAAAAAATAAATGAATGGTACTTTAGCTTAAGGAAAAAATTCATTATTTAAAATCAAGGCTTCTTGTCCCTCGGCCTCATCATGATATTATGAAGAAGAAAGGGGGGTGCACCTGCACCCTTGCACCCCCCCCCCCCCTGGTTACGGGCCTGCCTATATGTATTTTCAACCCCGATCTCAATTAGGATTAGAAATGAAGTTATATGCAGACCCCTGACTAAACAGTATTCTATTCTCTGTAAAATAAAAACTATATTCCTGAATTCGCCAGTATCCTTCATGTTTCTTCAGTTATGAAAATTAAGAAATTGACAATGCACGTCTTGAATCACTGAAGTCAGAATCATTAAGATCGAAAAATCCGTTTAAAACAATACCAATTACTATCAAGCTAATGAGACTGAATTTAATGAATTTGAACTGTCAACCAGACAGATTCATAATTGAATCACCGATTCGAATTCTTCCTTAATCATTAACTTTTAATCGGTGGTTCAAACTTGAACCAGTCGTAGATATTTTAGCGACGTAGCTCAAATTTTATTTAAGCCGGAATAATAATGCTAGAGAATCCAAAAAAAAATCTATTTTTAACATTATCATCTCTACTTTTTAAATTAAATTTTTTTCTTTATTGACTGTTGTTTCTAATTTGCTGCTGTGTATATCTTTTGCTGGTGCAAAAAAACCTTAGACAATTTGGATGAAATAGTTTTACCCCTAGTTCTACAGTTAAACCCTAAATATTAAAAACATCGAAAGAATTCATCAAATGTCGTATTCTTCACTTTCTGATAATGGAATTACGGCCCGCTTATATGTATGCTTTTATCTACCGATCTATACTATTCTGGGCTAGTGTACATGTAACTTTGTCGGTGGGCTACGCGGCTGT